CCTCGATGGACATGGTTGACCCCGTAGCACTCACTACTTAAACGTATAATCCGGCTTAGTCATCTTCTGGCGGAACGTCAATGGTTCAAGGAAAGGAGCTCTAGCTTTTGGGTGCGTACCAAACCCATCAGTGCTAGCGCTACCCACCACCTCTTGGTGAAAACGAGTCATTGGATGGTACGATCAATTCGCTACCATATCAAGAGAAGAAGGGACAGGGTGCCCGTGCGAATGCACCCGTCTCTATATTGATTTTTTGGGACCATTCGAGGACTACCTCTCGTCCAACTATTGATCATTATTAAACCTTGATTCACTAGTTCCTTCAGAAAAAGTTATTCTTAGAGAAAATCGCTATCAACTGAGCACCACGTGAATGGAAAAATTGGAAATCCTTTTGTCGCAGCGTGAATGGAAAATTTGGGACTCCTTTTGTTGATGAACCTAAATTCGATGTGTGATAGTTGGGGATCGCAAAGGGGCGGGGGGGGGGCGGACAAGCCGTGGTTTGTCGCGCATGGCGCATCGTGCAGCGATGCGCGATTAAGTATTAAGTTGGTTGGCCGATGTAACCGACGGCGCAGAGAAGCTTTCATGAATTTAAGGCGGCGCAGAACTTCATGACGGCTATCAGACGGACGACTTTTTCCATCCCTTCAACACTTAGGCACTATAGAGACCAGTCGATGCACCAAAAATCTTCTTCCAGATCTTTTTACGCTTCCATTCTCGTGACAAATGACTACGCAGAACAACTCGTCCGTTGCGCGGCGTCGCTCGCCACATCCACAAGCGGCAAATAAGAGGGTGCACGAAAGAAGATGATATTCTCTGGCACCCTGAGATGGAAAGCGAGGGGTGCAACGTAGGAGGTAACAGTCTCCACCCTTCCCTTCCCGGTCTACGGACAACTCAAGCTCAACCAGTAGTGCTCACATTGAGCTTCATAGAGACCAGTCGATGCACCAAAAATCTTCTTCCAGATCACTTTACACTTTCCATTCTCGTGGTAAGCTGCAGCGGCAAGATGAAGATGAACTCACCAGGATAGATTTCATCCTGTTGGTAAGCATACCCTTGTGCCATTCAGGAGCCGCGACTTTGTTTCCGGTCATCGCCGATGCAGCACGGCTGCTTTGTCGTACACCGGCATTTTCTGAAATACTGTCGTAACAGAGACGGTATTGAACCGATGTAATCTCATAGGAAAAATGACTAAGTTGCGCGGATAAGAGGGCAGCGAATCGGAACTATGGTCACCTTTGAGACATGTGAACCCGGCGCAGTTCTGCGACGGGGGAGGGGGCCAATTTGCACTTGCTTCACAAGTCTCACTCGGCAAAACTCTGACGGAGCTCTGACGCTGGAGCAAGCTCTCCAAGCCATCTTGGTAAAACCTGTCATCTCTACAATAGACTTTCTAGATGGGTCGACGCGTTCACAGAATCACTGAACTGCCCCTTCAAAATCTTATACAAGCCTTGAGTGTTACCATATGTACATATAACATGACGACGGGGGAGAAAAAAGATAAAATGGATTTGAAAGGTGCGGTGTGCCGTCCGAGCGCTGCGGAATCAATGAAGACAGCAGGCCCAATCTGTTGATTGAAGTGATCGCCGCTCAGTGACCTGACCTACAGTAAGCCAATTCATCGTATGTGACAGATTGTGGATGCCATTTTGGTTTTTTTTACCGGAACCTCGGGACACATACCTCTGCGGACCTCGGGACACATCAGTTGCGGAATAACTTCTGGGACAAATAGGACGCTCGTATTCATTCATTTGCTAAGCAAATTATGAAGCGAAGGGATTGGTATGAAGCGGCCGTGATGCTGCATGCATACATGGGTACACATATGCAGCCGTATCTTCGGTAGCGGTGATTGGTAAGATGCCTATAGGGAACAAGGTTCAGTGGAAGAAAAGTGAATGCGCGCCGGCATGGGGACAGCAAAGTCGATGAAACAGGCGGTCCAATAGGTGGATCGTGGCGGTGACCAACCTCATTGACCTGACCTACAGTACGGCTTTCCAGCTTTCAGAACTCATCGTTATCCACGTGACTGCCCTTAAATGGTCCTTCCCACACAGCTCGCAGACCTTCAGCGCAACACTCACCAGCGCGTTTTCTACAGCTGGCATCGGTAGAAAAAGCAGCCGCGAGTGGGCTCATGCCCGCATGACCTTGCCCCGTCTGACTGTGACGATATCAACTGCACGTTTCTGCCTCTTTTCTGAACGAATTTTCGCAATTTTTCGCCCTCAGATATGAAATGCACGAGGAATGTATTGGAAACAAAGGCATCGCAAAAGCGCATGGTAATAGGTAAATGCCGACTACCTCTTACCGTACCCTTTATTAAAAGTGCTGTTCCACAGCCGTACCACACCCCCTTTTTTGAGTGGGTTGGTGCGACTCCCCTCCCCTTGTTCCCTCCTTATCGAGCTGTCGAACGGGGAGCCGGGGGGGGGGCATAAAAAGGATAAAGTCTTCGCCGTTGATCAATCCCTTTGTGGGATGCGGCACGCATTCTACTTCCATTCAGAATCGTAGTGGCTTATTGAATGCGATGTGGCCTATACAATGACTTGCGGTGGCCAGCCGATGTACAAGTCAGTGTTTTATCCTCCCAGACGAATCTGGTACCAATTTACCGTCCCGGAGGGTAGAAGGCTTGGTTGGCCTGGGCGGGAGTCGACCCGGGATTTGAACCCGGCGCCGCGCGAGTGGTAAGCGCGCCACTTGTCACTACACCACCTCCGCCTCGGGGGGGGGCATATAACATTGTGAAAAGGAGAAACGGGAGCATAACATGACCCCCTCCCTTTCCCCATCTTACCTACCACTTCCTTCTGTTGTCTCAACTATCTACCACTTTTTCCCGGATTGGGAACTTCCCGAAAGTTTTCCTGCTTTTCCCCGAAAATTTTGCCGTCTAGCGGAGGGGTGGAGATAAAGTACATATGAAGAAACAAATAGATGAAAGGTAATGAAATAAAGATGAAATACTCAAGATGAAAGATGGCCAAAGAAGAGAGACTAGCCTATAGATTAACCCAAAAAACAATCAATGCGAAAATTTTTAGGGTGCGGGTCAGACGAGTTTCGCGCCTTTCATCGACCGGTTACGGTACTGCCCCACTAGATCACACCCCGGGAGGTCTCCTGAAGGCAGGAAATCTCATCCCAACGAACGATCTCGCTGCACATTTGTGATTATAGTTGTCTAGTAAGGGTCACCAACTTTCTCGTAGACAGCTGATGTAGGAATGTCAGATAGTACAGCGCCTCAAGGATCGATCATGGGGTAGAAGTCCACGAAGAAAGGAGGGGGCAATAGGTAGCCGATTGATTGGTTGACCCTGTACCCCGACAGCTATAGACGGTGGGCCATCCAGCACCGTCCATGCGGTACAACCGTATAAGGTACTGAAGTAGAACTTCTCAACTTCCCACTCATTAGGCGGCATGCTTTTTATGCTTTCGAGAGCCGATTTAGAATTCCTCAGTCCATATCATTCAGTTACAGATATGTCTGGAAGGCTTTATCAGTGGATTCTCGCTCGATGCCGTGGCACACCTTCATTACAAGTTGGAAACATGGTTACCACTATGTTGTAAGCTCTCTGGAATGACATATTCTTACGAGTCATCTGATATTTGTTGCTATTCAGAAGTGCGAAAGTTTAGAAGTTTACTGGACAGCTCGAAAGAAGCTACGTCGCAGTTTGGCGACGGGAGGGGAAGGGAGAAGGATTTTGCACTCTCGCTGCTTCACTTATTCCCATTTACAAGTCTCACTCTGGTGCAACCTGTGGCCCTTGGAGAAGCTGAAGTGAGCTTATCAAGCCACCATGGTAAAAGCAACTCTTGTAAGTTCATGAAATGGCTCTCTATATGGGTCGACACGTCGATGAGAAGCGGCAACGGTGCAAGATGCCCTCCGTCGCCAAACTGCCCTGGAGTTAACCTCCTTATCCCTGAGACAGAGTAGGCGTGGCATTTGAACATGGCACGGAATTGGTTACTCGTGGAATATTCCAGTCTGGGACAACTGTCATCTTGTTCTGTGTTGGACAGAGACACGACAACAATTGTGTCAAGATGAAAATATCTCACCAGAAGCATAGACACCTCCAGGTTAAGTTAAAGCATGCGGCCACGCCTACCCGATCTCAGAGATTTCGAGTATACTGCTCGATAAAGAACCCAAACGAATGCTGCGACGTTGGACTAACAAAAACGGAGTAGAGATGCACAACTCAAGCGATGTCTCTGCAGGCCACGCCGAACGTGGAGGCGGAGACAAGCGTATAGTTGAACCGTTTGTGCCCCCTCGTTCTAGGATGGCAAAGGGCAGAGAAGGGACATCCCTTCGAGGGGTGACGGTACCGCTGAGTCCGCCCGTAAAACCTGCGCGAACTATGGCTTTCGGACAATCGTTAGAATGACTGCTTGTTTCAAAGACCTTTTTACAACATCCACCTGTTGAATTGCTCTCATTAGGCCCCATAACCTTCCTTCAATACGAATAAAACTTCATTAAACAATATATCAATAAAAGAACAATACATTGATAAACTTGTCAACAAATCTGGATCCTAAATGAACAAGTGAACTTTTCATAGGTAATCTTTGGAGATAAAGTCATTGTCACGGAAGACGTCAGGGCGTGCCAGCAAGCATGGATCTTGGCGCGACGCCGGCCTATTTACCACAGAACGTTGCGGCTTCGGGCGATCAAACAGTGCTGTGAAAAGGATTGGCGGCGTGCCAAAACCGACGCGCCTCTGGAACGCCCCGACTTACCACGAGGATAACGACTGCGCTGATCTGAAACTTCCTAAGAAAATCAGACCGCTGCATCAACGAACACTAACAACGTATTCACAACAAGGACACGTCTTTCCGACTTCACTTCCAACATTTACAAATAAAACTATTACTAAACAGTCCTAAAGTTTTCAAATTCTTACTAGTATCAGTATCACCGTTTAGTCACTATCGGAATCAGCTGCAGTATTCCACTCATGCGCCAGCCGATCAAGAGTTTTGAGAGCGCGGTCCTGAGTTTCATCGTCCAGGCATCCAAAGCAAACGCCACTACTGCCGGGATGACGAGCTACTGCAAATGAAACTGTAAGCTGGAAACATGCTCAGAAATGGATGAGCAATCACCAATCAAAATTCACAAGGAATATCTTGCCACAATTATCCGGTCGTGTTCGCTGCGGATGAAGGGGGCGTTGTCAGGCAGGAATAGAAACTGTCGCGGCCCCACCGAACCACGTTCTCCACCAGTTATCTGAAGCGAGAGAGGCAGGCAACAATGACTTGATAGTGGTGGGAAAACGGGTTTGGCGTTGCGCCAACCATCGCGCTGACGTTGACGCGCTTGACTAGCCCACTTCATCCGCAGCGAACAAGTCTGTAAACACAAGTTGAACCCCTAGGTGATAAGCAACAAGATTGGTTCACGTAAGACAGCATGCTACCGACCTTTTCTCCCGGAAATTAGCCTTTAATATCGAGGAAATACCTTTTCGGATGAAGCCTTTGGTAAATAGTCAGGAGTTTTGGTAAATAGTCAGGAGTTTTGGTAAATAGTCAGGAGAGTTTTGCCAGTTTTGCCCGGATTGCATGCTATTTTGATCTCGTAGGCTAAGAGATACTTCGAAACATGAGTATTTCAATGCTCTAGGGGGGGGGGGGTGGTTTTTCGCAAGGAGGTATTCTCTCCTTTACGGTTTTTTTTTATTCATTCACTGTCCTCCTCCCCCCCCCCTTGGAAAAACTGCCGTCGAGCGCGTGTATATCGCACATGAAACGAAAAAAAAAACTGAGAAAAGTCCAGAACAGAAGAGAATTTTCTCGATGGCAAACATGGTCAGGCCCTCTAACGACCAAATACAATCCCCCCACCCCTTGGGGATCTCCAACTTACAACATGCCCTGGCTGAATTAAAACTCCCGGTTCTCTATGCTTCCTCACCGCTCGATTTTCTATAGACGCATTACTTATCTGTCTGTCTTCGTTTGCGGCAGTGCCATGGCGAAAAATTCAAACAATTAAAGGCAGTTGGCACGATGGTTTTCTACTTAGACCTTAAAATCGATATAGAGCATATACAGGGGGGGCCAAAAAAAAAAGTCATTTCGGCCGAGCCACATATCAACGAAGTTTTCGCAGCCCAGACAGGGGAAGTGGATATGAGTACCAGAGTGGAAGATACCCAAGATCTTCCTCTATAAGCTGGAGCACGCTGCCGCCAATCGCCTTCATGTACGCCAAAATATGAAGTCATCTCCAGTCGCGGCCTGACTGGAGAACACCTTTGGAATTCACGTCGCCTCCAAACAGCTGCGAAACTTCTTGAATGAAGTCATCCACAGATAGCTACCTGGAGGTCAGTACTCTTGATCTGCAAGACCTCCCACATCGACCAGCTACGGCAACGTCGCTACGGTCTAGGACATCATCTTCACCGTATTCGCCGAGGCGCGAGTTGATGGTATGGACCGGGGTAACCTGGCGGAAGGGGAGGACCGATATTTTCTTCGTAGACCCCGACTGAAGGTGAGCGCTGGCGGTTACATCAAGTAACTCGAGAAGAATATCCTCCCTACATGTGGTCGCCCGTACCTTCTTGGAGACCTTGTGCTGCTACAGGTTTGGGTGCCACCACATGGAATCAAAGGGTTTTGGAAAAACTCCCGCCTACTTCGAATGGAAGGGCGTTTCGTACCTGAAGAAGATGTAATATTGAAGTATGTCCCCTGACCTGAATCCACTCAGTTACCTAGTCGGGTGGAGTTCAAGAGGGTGGTCTACGGTGGCGGAGAAATCAACGATCTCGCTCAACTCCGGTACCCACTCACTTTCGCGCGGCCGAATCTCTCGATGGCGCTCCTCCAGAAGGCTGTGGCGGAGTATCGTTATAGTATTTAATGTGCTCTTTAATATGGTAGTAAAAATGTCCGATAAAAATTTAATAAAGTGTAACTTATAGCGCCTTGAAAGTCATGGAGGCAAAATGACTTTTTTTTTTGGCCCCCCCTGTATAGTGGGGAAATGGCGAAAGAACGGAGTGAAACGGTCAAAATCCTGCGAAGAAAAAGCCTCCGTTCTCAGTGACTTGAAAATCGATTTCGGACGAGTTTCCCGTAGGCATCTTACCAATCACCGCTACCGAAGATACGGCTGCATATGTGTACCCATGTATGCATGCAGCATCACGGCCGCTTCATACCAATCCTTCGCTTCATAATTCGCTCAGCAAGGAGAATGAATACGGAGTGTTTAAAGAACGGCGTCCATTTTGTGGCGGGCGGGGCGCTGCGCGGCGTTTGGCGACGATAAAAGTTGTCGCTTGATAGGGCCCTTATAAAAGCACCCTCCTCGAGGGCACCTTCCTCAGGGAAACCGCTATGCAGCGCCTGCCCAGGGTCGCGGAATTCTATCCTGCCAGGAGTATTGATCCTAGTCGTCTTGGGGAATTTATGTGCCAACTGCCTTTAATAGGAACGAACTTCAAATTTTTCATCTCTAATCCGAAACCAATGACCGTAACTCACATTGCTCCATTTTCTGCAGAGGGTTCAGAACTCGATCCCATTGGACTTGACCAGAACTTGGAAACAGTCCCGCTGAAATCCGTACACCATCTATCATGAAAATCGGATACAAAACATTCTATGAAATAGGTTCCAGGGCAAACCATACATTACCAGCTTCACTAATCAATAGAAATACCCTAACGAACCTTGCGGAGTGCCAAAACCACCAGAAACGGTATTCGCTGGTGGATTGCAAGGGTCTGCAGGCTTCACAGTGACATTCGTAGGTGGGAATATACTGTTGAATGTTCTAAGCGTGTCTGCACAACTCGAAGTTGCTGCTTAAATAAAAAAAATTTATTAACCAAAACCAACGCGAAGTTAAACAGTAAACTGAAACCAAGCTTGATAAGCTATCATATTGTCATAGATGCAATTAAAAGCTCAGTAAGAACACCTACCAAATGATCCTCCTATAGCGATTCCTTCAGTGGCTGTGAGTGGTGCGTGGCTTGTCGTGGGGAATGATCCAGTTTTCGCTGGCTGAGCTGGTGGGAACAGAATTTGTGCGACTCTTTGTTCTAACTCAGCCAAGGCATCTGATTGACGCCCCTGAAAAGGAAATAAAACGATGAAAAAACTGATGAACTACAATACATCACAACTGAGTTAAGTGCTAAAAAGTTTACTAAAACTGCAAAAATTAAACCCAAAGCCCAGCCGTCAAAGATTCGGCTTGTCGTGATTCACCTCACTTTGTTTTTTTTTTTTTTTTGTGTTCTGTACACTCATTTCGATGACGCTGTGGTGGCCTAGAATATTCCTTGAATAATATTAGAATTAAATCAACTATACCTGGAATGAGTTAACACCAGAAACATAAAGCTAGCTCTTCGGCTGGCCAAAAAAGGATTCGCCCGGTCCGATGACAAAAAAGCAGCGAAAATCTCAGGAGAATTTTACTTGAGTTGAAAACTGCTGCTTTCCGTAGCAGTATTGCACTGGAGGCGCTGCTAACTACTATATCACCAGGGCTGGTTTCCTTCGCTATCAGCTTGAGGCATGCCCGGGATTATAATAGGTGAGTAGGGGAGGCTCAATAACGAATTACAAGGTGGACGCAGTAATCCCATTTTGCGAAAAAAGGGTCACGTTAAGGTTTGCTCAGATGCCCTAAAGAGAGTCACTAACGGCCTGAGCCTGAACGAGCATTTGAACAAAAGAAAAGGATTCTTCGATAGAGTTCTCGTTTAGCGGATTGAAACTAGCACAGATCTCTCTCTCTCTCCTTGTCTCTCCAGTCTCGGAATGAAAAGAGTTACGGAGGGCAGAAGCAATGCTCCTCCAGCAGAGGTGTTCTACAGTAGAGGTCAAGATTTTTAAGACAACATTACGATGTAGCGAATTGAAATGCAGTTCCATATATTCACGTTCCTCAGCTGAACACTGGATCTGGGCCATTTTCTCCTGTAGCGCTCCAATATCGTCAGTATTGATCTATAATGAATTGCAGATAACAAAAAACGTAGAGATGCGATAAAAGCTTTCAACAACCTACCGATGAATGTTTCGCTCTCTCCAGTTTCTTGTTGCATAATTCAATGAGGAAATTATCATAAACTGAAAACACCTCTTGATCAATGAAAATGCTATTTTTACGTAGCAAAATAATTTTCTGCTAAGTTAGTGTGATTTCGAAAAGCAAGGCTGATTGACTTTGGCTGAAAAGTGGCTCTAAATATTGTAGACCGGGCGATGTGCGCCACATCGTAGGATGGCCCAGCGAGGTGAGTCAAATTTCAATTACTGCACTTAGGGGGTAGGTCCTACTTGACTTTGAGAGAACGTTTTCAATTGTTGATTTTTCTTGTTTGCACTCCCCCCCCCCCCTTCCACTGGCCTTGCAACGGCGGACGCCGAGGTTCAGGAAAAATTAGAAGGATCTTTAGAGAAATGTTCGAAAAAGCGGAAGGAAGTTGGGGAAAATTTAGGGAGACGGTAGGTGGGGTGAGAGAAGCAACCAGACCTGAGACCTAAGAGAGAAGCAACCTTGGACTGGGGGGAAGGGGTTGTATTTTGCAAATCCGCTCACGGTCATTGAACAAATAAAAAGTAAAAAAAACGATCAACAACTCGACCCACAATTCTCGTCATCATGAGGGAACTCTTCCATAGCACTGATGTCGTGATGAGGCGACACATGGCTGCTGTGCGGAGGTCTTATTGAGGGAATCGGAGTCTAGAAGATTATCAATTCAACGATTGTGATGTAATTAATAAAAAACCAGAAGATTAGCACTTACCACGGATGGCGGAACGAAGCCAGAAGTCCAACCGACATTTTTCGGTGGTCCAGTCGATGAGAAAGGAGCTTGTACAGTTCCTGGAGTTCCGAAGGGAACCGGAATCGATGGCGGTTGTATGGTCGTCTTCGGCACGGAACGGGGACTCAAACCCGCCGGTATAGTCGCACCACTTGCTGGACTTTTCTGATCAGACTTTTGTGCGCTGATACAAGGTGGAACTGCCCCGAACACGGGTGCAACTGGTTTTCCAGACTTCCAGAACGATGTGGCAGCCTCTTTGCTTGCAATGAACTTTCCAAAAGGTGAGTTTGTCACAATAGGTGGTAGGCTGGAAGTACTAGTAGTGATCGCCGGTGAAACAGTTGCCCTAGCCGACGTAACAGGGGTAGAGGTGATCACACTAGGCGACATTCCTTGACCAGGAGGTTTTGGTGATCCTGATATCGAGCGACCAGGCACTGTTACCTCCTCGGATTTTTCTCCTCGGTGATCATCTGGTATGATGACGCTTATCGAATGACTATCTGTCATCGAAAGAACAGCATGCGTCTCTCCTCTAGGTGTGCCTGAGGTTAAACTTCCCGTGCTCTTTGATTCTTGGACTTTCTTCCCATCAGAAGCGATGCTTTTGGTCTCTTCGCCAGCTTTAGGAGTATTTTTTTGTTCAGACGGGCTCGCTATTGCACTGGCGAAGGAGCGATCCGATGTTGCAACATTCGTATGATCGCTTTTCACAGAAAAGAAAGACTCATCAGGATCGCACGGCGGTGATGACTAAAAAGAATACGGTAATTTTTTACGAGCAAAAGAAATAATTTGCTGTATCTTTCTTATGAGACCACCTACCGTATAACCACGACTCGGGGTGTTCGTTGATGAATCAACTTGTAGTTTGCGATTGACTGGCAACACTGGTATTATGCATTGATCGCCTTCTAAACATATTAAGTTACACAAAACTAAAAGAAAAAATAATCCCACACTATCATAGAAGCAAATAAATGTACAGATCAAACCCTTTGAAGAACTGGGGCACGTTGTTGGTTCTTTATAAGGGTAACCCGACACGTTGAAATTTGAGAATCCGATATGTATCGACTGGCTGCACCCAATCAGAGAAACGAAGATCAGTCTAATCCTCTCGCGGAGTCTCGATCGATACTTACACAGACACTCCATATCCTAGAGCTGCGTAGGGCGTGGCTGCGCAATTCACTGCAAGGAGGGGGTTGCGCTCTCAATGGAATAATGCCGTTTTGATATCACTGTAATCACGTCTTTGTCCAGCACAAGACAGTGACATTTGTCCCAAATAGAATACAAAAATACAAAAGCGCAACCTACGATTAGATCAAGTGAAGTACGTGGACACGCCCTCCACAACTCTGCGATATAGAGTAAACTAAACCCATATTATCCGACTGCCCATATTTCACGACTCTCTGCATCTCTAGTATTCCAAGGTATGAATGCAGCTTCAGGGCTTACACATTCATGGATTTTCCAAGCTAACACATCGCGATGGAGAACCACCAGCGGAAGTTGCCTCACCGATCTGGGGCAAGATATGCCAGCGGTCTCTGTCTACGAATACAAAGGCGCGGTGCGTTATCACTTCGTGTAAGACTAACTACATCTCTCTCTCTCTCTCTCTCTCTCTCTCTCTCTCTCTCTCTCTCTCGCTTGCCCCTCCTCTTTTGATCCTCTGCCTCTAGCCCCCCGCCCGACAATGTCTCGGTTCCTTTGGCACTAGTATAAATCTATGGACTTATTAGGGAGTCTCTGACTTTTTGTCCGCTCTTTTCTTGACTCATAAGGCACTTTCCATCCAAGAATCCATATGTGAGCCAGAAACCAAACCTTTTTGCTATCGCAGAATGTGTCTTTAAGTCTAGTCAGTCTAGCATCTTGTAGAGAATAGTCAACATAATAGCAACATTACAGAATATTCACCTTCACTACCTGAATCGGATGAAACTGGAGACGATGTTGTAGGAGTATTTTCATGCAGGTCCATCTTACGACACTCACACTGAAAACGGTTTCAGAAATCAGGGGAAAACCTTCTGATGCTGATGTTCTTGAAACGCATTACTTCAATCTGACCACTGTAAAAGCACTCTATTGTAAAAGTGAATACCTCTAATTCTCGCAATCTCCTCGATAGCTCGTCATGTTCTTGTTCGTCAAGGTGTCCATGCTTTATCCAGCTTTGATATACCTAAACAATCACATTGCCTTAGCGGAACAGTAGTTCAGATCAGCAAAATACCTTGATCAGAAGTTGTTTGCTGGCCAAAGATTTTGCATAAACAAGCCTACGTTCAGCTTCTCCAAACTGCCCTTTCATGAGGAAATCCTTGGCGAGGTACCTCAATAGTGGTAGTAAAGGTTGAAATAACTAATAGTTTCACAATGACAAGCGCGCTCTTTTCTTCCTTTATTTCGAAGGGAGAGGCAGTCTAGTTGGAAGCACGCTCACATTTGAGGGTCAAACCCCAGCTCCCCTTGAAGGCAGCGCCCGCGTTCATTTGTTGTTTCCACGCTCTCTTGGGATATCGTAGCTAACCCTATGAGGATAGTGGACGACTAGTTTCGCAAACAAAAATGCGAGAGAATAGCGCGCCCCTCGTGAAGAGTCGGCCACCCCGCCCACCTGGCGACCACTACGCCCAACTTCATTTCTAATGGTTGCCTGATGGTGCGGTTGTTCTGCTGCTCTCTCCACGTCGAATGGTGAGAGTGAGGTGATAAGGGAAAACAGCTGATATCAACAAGTGAGAACTCGCGCAGCATGGGGTCCTATATACCTTGTGATAACTATCTGAGCCGCATGACTCATCAAATTGAACGCGGGTGCTGCCTTAAGCCAACCAAACCTTCTAACCGCCGGGGACGGGGACAGTAACTTGGTACCAGGTTTGTATGGGAGGAATATACTCTGACTGCACATCGCTGGGCCCCGCAAGTCATTGTATATTCCGCATCGCATTCAATAAGCCACTACGGTCCTGAATGGAACTGGATGCGTGCCACACCCCAAAGAGGACGATTGATCAACGATGAAACTTAATCCTTTATCCTTTACTTGGCGTTTAGGACTGAACCAAGGGTAAGGGGAAGAGAGCTGACTCGACATCAGGGTACAGCATCGTGATCTGTGAAATGGTGGTGCCAGTGCGACCCCCCCTCTTTCGAGGGAGGGTTTTGGTACGACCCCCCCCCCCTTCCCAGCACCTACTTATCAATTTCCCCCATTTCCCAGTTTTTATCTCGAGCGGGGAGGGGGACGAGGGGATGAGTATATAAGCCAATGGTCTAACGGGAAGGGAGAGTTCCAATTCCCAGATTCCCCCCCCCCCCCCCAAATTCCTACCACTTTCCGGAATTTCCCGAAAATTCCCCTACTTTAACCCAAAATTTCACCCAAAAATTTTGCTGTCGAGAGAGGAAGGCGAGGGGAAGGGGAATTATAGTTCACATGAAGTAGGGAAAAACCAGAGTCAGCAAATGCTAAAAATTTTTCTCCCAACGCGCCAAATTTCTGGTCAAAGCCACATACGACCTCCCCCCGCCGAAATTACGCCTTCCCCGTATGTGTTTCACACAACTACACTGTACCCTGCTCGACACCAGTGTGTGTTATAAAACATGAGTTACCTTGAGACGTGTTCTTCTATATCATCCACTTCATCAACTGTCATCTCCTCCTCGTCATGAATACCATCAGGAAAAAGTTCATCACATCTTTTCCGGAAGGGATGCGCTCTAAAGAAGTTCACAAACTTTTTCACATAAAAATCCATCAATAGCTCGTCCTACTAAAGCGTCAGTCAATTTTTCTCTCTGAAGAGCCTTTAGCGACACTGATATCGGTTGGAGTAAAGTTTTTCTTTTTTCAGGAAAATGTACAGGGTACAACTGATGTTGACCACTTCCCCTTTCCCCCACCAAAAAAAAATCGCGGAAAAACTGAGCAGTTCGAGCAATAAAAATCCTAGCCACCTAGCGTATTCATGAGATCTTTCTCCTACCGTAGCCTATTTTTCGAGCACCTTTTTCGAACACTTCCAAGTAGAGAAAACGGAAAAAGGCTTAAAAATTTATTTACTCTAGAACTCTATTCTTATGAACCGCGGAAAAAAATAAAAAAAGTTTCGAGACCACAAGAATGTGGATTTTCAGGCAGTTGTTTGTCTCTACCAAATTTGCTAAGTACGAACGCGCGCCAGTAACGGAAAAATCAATTCCATGACATCAGACACTTACCCTGTTATGGTATCACTTATCGTTGTAGCGTAAAGCATCATCATTTTCTCACAATCATTTTCACCACTCACTTCCAACCAACGGAAAACCTGAAGATAAGAGTCATCGCAATTACCCTTTTCCTATTTTTATCCCACAAGATGACAGTTATAAGCATCTTGGCCCCATTGGTACTGATCCCAACTACTATGACATCCCACAGGTCAGGAGATACGTGAACGAATTCGCAAAATCTATCAAAACAGCGAAGGTGAATAGGATGGTAGTTGGAGCTCATATGCATTTTGTTCGCTGCAAATACTTTAAGCGTTTCAGGGGGTTGGATTTGGTGCGGCATCATCCCGCTTTCCACCAACTACCATCACTGCCCGTATTCCATTTATTGTGAAGAACGGCGTGCGCCTTGCCAAATTCAGCCCTCCGGCCACGGCAGGCCATCGCGTTGCGATCATTCAAAATTATGACCCCCTAATTCCATACTAAAATACGACCCCCCTTTTGGGAGTTGGTACGACCCCCCTCCCAGCCCTCTGTCCTTCCTCATCGAACCGAGCCGTCGAGCGGGGGGGGGGAGGTCGTCAGAAATTAAACTATCATTTTCAAGTGTCGAAAAATAGTTAGTGCGTCCGGTGAACTGACCAAATACACCCCCCCCCTTACAGCGTCCGTGAAAACGAGAATCAACTAACAAGAAAAAAATTTTCTCTGACCAAATACGACCCCCCTCCCTCGCGGTCAAGTACGACCCCCTCCCCTTGTGATGATCACAACGATGGCGTACCCTGCCTCCGGCCACCTTCGAGCATCTGCAGAGTACCCAGAAGAGGTACATGAGCGTCAACCTTTCTCTTATTAAGCCTTTTATTTCGATAAATCTCTCGAATTTCGTCGAATGTTTTCACATAGCTTGTGACCTGTGGGGTATCCGCAGCGAACAGTACTGTACTGTACTAGCCTGCGTACTGAGACTTATCCCAACCCTCTATAAATAGTGATCACACATCAAGTGAAAGCGCCTGTAAAAAAGTATGCTCACTTTTCATAGAGCCTCCTTAAAGGAACAACTTACCGCACCTCACTGAAAAGGGTATCCCCCATTAAACCCCCCCCATAACACGCGTCCTCAGAAGTCCAGACTTGACATCGCGCTCCGAACTGTAAAGGCACTATTAATGACGACAAAATAGGCTATTTGTTCACTGTACAAAAAAGGGGGTTAAAAAAAAAAAAAAGTGAACGTAAGAGTAAGACAAACATAAGTGAAAATGGATATGTGGCAAGAGAAACGCAATTTGCCGCGCCAGTGAGCGCTGCGTGCGACGTCGCGCCTGCTACTGACAACGATTTTAGGTCGGTTGAGCATAGACAATGTATAACCAAAAATAGGCATACAGTGACTACTCATGGTATCCGAGCCTTCAAATCAAAAACGGTACTTTCAAATTAAGGAAACGTCGCGCCCATTGCCGCGCGCGATGAAGCGGCAATTTACGACTCTCTTGCCCGCAAGGCACGCCATCGTTGTGATGATCACAACGGGGGGTCGTATTTGACCGCGAGGGAGGGGGGATTTGTGTCTTGTCTGGGAGAGCATACTGCCGAAGACACTATTGCCAACTATTTTCGATAGTTGAAAATGATAGTTAAATCCTGACGATCTCCACCCTTCCCGCCCCGCTCGACAGCAAAATTTGCAGAAAAAACCAGAAATTTTTCGGAGAAATTTCGGAAAAACTGGTAGGAGGTTAGGGAAAATCTGAGAAATTTTCCTGTTTCACATTGGGTATATACCCCTCCCCCCTCCACTCAACGGGAAATTCTTGGCTGAAAAACTGGGAATTTTTCGGCAAAAGAGGGGAAGTTGGGAAATTCCAGGGAAGTATTAGGTAGCATGGGAGGGGAGGGGGGTCGTACTTGAAGGATGGAATTAGGGGGGGTCGTATTTTTCAGGAAATGATCACAACGCGATGGTGTGCCCTGCTTGCCCGTCTCCCTCTGCGAGACCATGACGCAGCGACTATGGCTGTCCGCGGTATGCTAAGCCGAAATGACAATGGTAAAGGGGTGGCAGCCTTGTGCCCCCTTCCATGTCACAATACCGTCCAACGATATACGTAAACAAAAGAAAACGAGAAGCAAAACCCACTCGTTGATCAACTGACAAATAGCATTCCAGCAATTGATTTGGTCTGCACGAATGTGAAGTTTTGCAGGAACACTTGCAGGATGCAAAGGAGAGTCACTCCACAATGATAACGTGAAAAGAAACACCTGAATGAGTACTATCAACAGGCAACAAGGGGAAACTACATCCCGAAAACTACAAAAAAGATACCTTGACGTCAATGCTGGTCAGGGAGCAGTGCTCAAAATTCTTATTTTTGCCGATGGGTGATTTGGAAATAACATCATCGATCAAAGTCACTGGAAAAGGTAAACTATTAGCTCGTCTCTAATTTTCATAAACGTAGTTGTAAAAAGTAGGCGGTATTTCTGAGGTGGAACACTGGTATACTGGGCATCCGCTCAAGTGAAGATTTCGCGTGAATGTCATATTGCATGCGCTTGGTTCATTTTCCCAAGATTGAAGTCCCTTATCCATGTTGTATCGCCTCCGCCCCTCCGCATGGGCTTCCACTACACTGATTCAGTCGACGTGGACGGCGCGCTTAACCCGCGCACTCCAACCTTGGCGAAGACAGCAGGCTGCAAGAACGGTTTGGGTCATGGTGCCGCGGCTCACAGACTGCGAGTGGCGCAGAAAGAAAAGGCTGCCAGAGTACAAGAATTTTCTCCTTGCAATGGCATACCTCGGCCGTTCTTTTGGTTCAAAATGTAATACCAGTTTTTTTTCTGGCTCTCGACTTACGAAGCATTTTCGAAAGTAAACGGAGAAACAGACACAGTCTTGCTCGCTGCGAATGAAGGGCGTGTCCGAGGAGGTTTTTCTGCGGCAAGCCAAGTTTTCCACCAACTGTTTCCGCGAGCAAGCGACAAGACCACCACAGTATTAGGGTATCACATTGTTCAAATTAGTCGTTTCCCGACAATTTTTATCGCTTAGCCTCTTCCACATCTGGTAGAAAACGGGTTTGGCGCTGCGCTAAACCCGCCTCGCCGGACACGCCCCTTTATCCGCAGCTATAAGTCAATGAACACACCGTTCAAAAGCCAAACATGAAAGTTTAGTAGAAAAACGCTTGGAACAAACCAATCAACAGCAACCACTACTCACTTGCTTCAAATGTGCTATCGTGCCCAATCATCCACACTAGCGTGCGCAGTACTTCGGAACGGTGAAGAAAAGGTACAAGCCCTACAAAGAAAGTACTGACGATGACGATCGAAGAAAATGATAGATTTAGCTGAACTGTTCAATCCATGAGCAGATATCGCCATTGTAAGGCGCGTTCACACTTTGAGTCAGCGTTCTGAGCGACTGTAACTATAGGTATCGTTTTAGCGTTTTGGACGTATGATAGCAGTTTTTTGAAGTTCTCGAGAGCAGTCGCTGAAAAGCTGGTGTTCGCTCAAACTGCCAGATGATACCTATGGTTTCCCAGTTGCTTGAAACGCTTAAAACCTGGCGTACGCTCAAAACGGTCAAAACTCCCCGTACGCTCAAAACATTGACGAAAGTATGAACGCACCCTGAGCAGTTCCCTTAACAAAACGGTAGACTAAAGTATGACCCCAAGTCACTCACGATTAAACAAATGCTCCATGTGTTTCAAAGTGATAATTGGCCAGATGACAGAGCAATTTCCTATTCCTTCTCGATACACTTCAGCATGAAGTCTTTGAATACCTCCTTCTGCGGGTATTAGACTGTCCACGCAATATTCAGCTAGCTAAAAAAAATTGAGTTGATTTAGTATGAACATTGTCTATCACATCACTAGTGAAAAAAAAACTTTAAAGGATAGCACACTATGTACTAATCAAAGGTGACCCTTTGCCAAGTGAGAGCACGTCCACTGCTGCGAAATGTACATCCCTCTCACTCGAAAAGTTGCACGTAATGAATGTGATGCTATGATCACTTGGTTTTGCTGTCGACATGCTCCGTTATCGACAATGGATAGACCCAGACACTCGCCATCAGCTACGCTATACGGCCAGTCGCACGACTAGTTAGGCGGTTACAGCCAGTCGTACGGTTGACCGTGTGGCGCATGGCGTGATTGTGGCGCAGTATCGCGCACTGAGCGGCAAGCGCGGAGCTATCAGGAACAATAAGCTGTCCCAAGTATAGCTGCATAACCTCATAAGCACAGGGTCTTCAGGGACTGAGCACTGTAAGGACACAGTTAAAAGAAACTATGACCTCAACTCACATCATCTCGCTTCTGTAAAGCGGTAATTTCTCGTTCTGATACTTCACTGTGCGTAATGGCAGCTGATGCTTCTGAAACAGTGCAATAATAACCAGACACGAGTTGGCAATGATGGGATCCTCAGCTTAAAATAGCGATTATAAGGTGTAAGGAGGTCGGCAGGACTAAGCTTGCTCGTCTGCGTCCTCTCACTGAGATGCTAACTTCTTCCTCCAGCAGCTTCTGCTTAAGAGCACTAGACAAACGCTAGAGCTGCCAGCTCTTGTCACGTCCTCTTCCTAACTTACTTGAGCCCAGGAAAGATAAACTAACCAAGCGAATGCAAAGCGAGCCATGCCGACATTTTCGCATCTTCTGGTGAAACTGAACAGAGGTGGTGAAACGCCAACGAGTGGAGCATGAATGAGATCTGAAAGCAACACCCTTTTCAAAACAACCTGAAAATAAAATATGAAGCCGGGCTCATAACCAGCGACTCGATTACCCGCGCTCTACCGGATTGTTGGACTGAAGAAAGGTTCGAAACAAGCTTTATGTTGATTGAGATCAAATTAGTAGTTGCAACGGTCCAACGATCACTTGAGAACAGGGTACAGCATCGTGATGTGTGAAATAGTGGTGTCAGTACGACCCCCCCACCTAAATGAGGGTCTCGGTACGACCCCCCCCTTCCCCAACATCTACCTACCAATTTCACCCACACATTTTCACATTTCCCACTTCCGGTTTTTCACCCAAGAGATTTTCCATCGAGAGGTGGGGGAGAGG